TGCCCTAATTTTTACAAATTTGATGTGTTCCCCACCCGCACCCATACCCGTACCTATGAAACCTTGATAGCATAAGACATATATTTTCCTTTTTCATATCACTTACTTTGACTTATTATGCACACGTGCTTCCAACTATCATATCTATCTTGCCCTAATTTTTACAAATTTGATGTGTTCCCCACCCGCACCCATACCCGTACCTATGAAACCTTGATAGCATAAGACATATATTTTCCTTTTTCATATCACTTACTTTGACTTATTATGCACACGTGCTTCCAACTATCATATCTATCTACTACTTTTAACTTAACCTCAAAAATATTATTCATGCTACAGTAAATACTATTCTTGAAGTGCATTTCGTAGTATTAAAATTACTATTTATCGTATAGTAACATTTTCAGCATTAGCCATAGTATTTGTGTTGCAATGATTTTATCATGTAAACATTGTTCATAAATTTTGGATCATATCTTGCTCTATATACTACAGTAACTTTTCAGCCCTGTATCCATTGGTCAAGCTGAAGTAAAATTTTTTTACCTTTGAAATACTGTTCATATCTTTTTTTTCGGTTCTTACAAATAATGAATTTAACCTTTATTAGGCATTTCGTAGATTTAAATCTTTTGTAGCTCTACTATAGAAAATTGATCAAAGTTGTTAATTGGTGTATTATTTTGTTAACTGATTTGGAACTTCACTCTGCAAATAGTAGTTAAAAAGTTATAGTCGAAGTTTTCACTCTGCAAATAGTTATATATAAAAACCGTATTATCAATTTGGTGATAGATATAACTCAGTAAATAATACTCGCAGGGCCACATCAACGTGCGGGCTTAATACTAGTATTTAGAAATTGTTGAATTCTTACCCCAAAAGCAGCCACTCCTGGTTAACAGTATCGCATAAAGCAACAGAGTACACTTGAACTCATGTGATTAATTGTTCATTTTATCATTGTAGGTTGTTAAAGTATATGTATCTGTATTTGGTGATGAAAGAGGAAAAGAGGTGGCTATTGCTGGACTGAAGTCAAAAGCCAAGTATGTCCGGAGTGAACTTGGAAGGCGTATGAAGTTGCGATTGACTCCTGAAATTCGTTTCATTGAAGATGAATCTCTAGAGAGAGGGAGCAGGGTAAATCAATCTATCTACTTTTATATGGAGTTGTCTTATTCCAGGATAGCTCGAGAGATATTTGTTTAGTGGTATATATTGTATTTTAAAGTAGTAGCATGCCTGCTTTAGGAATTGTCCGTGGGATAAATTTTATAGGATATCTTGAGGTTTCACTTCTGGTTTCATCGTATATCAGTAGTTCTAGACACTGACCACAAAAATTAGAGTGAATTTTCCCCTGGTGTCTTGGGTTTTATATCATGCTTTGGCATAATCAATTATTGCATACATACTGATATGCACTGTCGCTAAATGCAAAGCGGAACTTGTCATTATAGTGTGAACAGATGTGCTTCTTGTTTCAGTTTGACTCTGTAACATGTAATTTTTTCTGAAAAGGTTAATGTAATTCGTTATGTGATACCTATCTTTATCCCTGTCTGACTTCACTATTACATCAAGTAGGGGCTTAGCCAGAAATGTTCTTCTGAGGGACCTCATGCAAACTTTAAATAGTTTCAGTTTTTTTAACCATTAGAAATTATTAATGTCTATATTTTTCAATTTCCTTTCCTCTGGTATTAAAATTTGAATATTTGTTAAGAAGTCATGAAAATTTTCTTTTCAAACGAAAGGAGAAAAATATATGTTAGGTTAGTTCTACTTTAAGTGTATTTATATTAAATTACGACTGGGGTTTCATGTGAAAAGTTTACGACATTGCATATGAAAATTTCGTTCTGTAGTTGTGTAGTAAACTAAGCATTAATCCTTATTAGTGCCTTTGCCATTAGATATTAATACTTAAATAGAACCATTTAAATCTTATATTATTCCTTTTTTTTAAATCTTATATTATTTCTTTTAAGCAATTGAATGTTGTGATGACAATAGGTGAAGTTCTTTTTGAAATACGTATAATAACTAATGGGCGATGGTGGAAGCATCACGGAAGAAAAAGTGGGCTTGTTTGGTATTTGTTTGACGCATTACATTCTTAATTCAAAATATTTACTTAGTGACCCGGTATGCTCATGGAAACCGCATATTAGATACATGCCATCACGAAGATCTATTTGAAATTTTAAACTTTATAGTTTCTGCCCGCAGAAGCTTTAGCCATGTTTTAAAAGTTTCGTTGAACACCATGAAACCTGATAAAAGCTTTTCAGTTCTCTACCTACTCTTTAGGCTCTATCTGCATTAGCTGTAAATTATGTAATTGAGAAAAAGCTACACTAGACCAGATAAAAAATATTTGTATATATTCGTTTCTTCCATGGTACTTTGCACATGAATGTCTCCAGTTGTCTGAAAACAGATGGAACAACATACTGGTATTATATTAATAAACCTTTGCATTTGTACAGGTAATTGCAATATTGGATAGGCTAAAGAATGAGAAGAGTTCAGATGGTCAGGATAAAGATCAGTCCGAGTCTCACAATTTATCTGAAGAAGATGGGGAGTGGGACAAAGATGATACAGATGAAGGCATCATTTACATAAAATAAACAGCGCAGCTTCTAACCAAGCATGTTGTAATTTGCTCTGAATTCTCAAGCATAAAGGTAAGCACCTTAAATCTCCCAAGTTTATGGCATAATTGTGAAATAATATAGCCTCAAAATTTACGGGATAAAATGATAGTTATATTTGGATGAATCATAATTGTTCTAAATTTAAACTGACAATTTTGATTCAGAAACTGGTGTCTCCGCTGCAAAACAAAAAGTAGTGAGGATCCAAATTCTTGCCACGAACGCCTTGCTTATTTTCCTCATATTGAGAAATATTCATAAGAACGATACTGTCAGATCCTTTTAAATGTGTGGGGTGGGGTGGGGGGGGGTTGTCTAATATGACGAACATCTACTAAAAGATCTAATACAAAATTTCTTAAGACATGGTTTTGTATGACATCTAAGATGCTTATGAGGTTTGAACTTTGTTTTACTTATGAAGAGTTAAAAATCCCATGGATGGCCCTCTGGAGAACAAAACACTTTGTCGTGCTACCAATTTTAATTTAGTGCGATAATCCACATGGGGTCTTCTATGAGATTTTTTACCCCCATCATTTTGTTTAGTTGTGTGCCAAAGTATCATGTTAACCTTTGCTATACGTGTCATGCAGTTTGATCTCTCCACCTGCCTTTCACAGAGGATCATATGTTGTAATGCAGATTCAGGTGAATAACAATTTGTTTTTGTAAATTAATCTTTTTTATATGTTCTCTCTTCATGCATAGAGAACTCCTGTTGTCTAATTTTATGACGACCCAGAGGGAGCGCAGATTGATCTCATGTGTAACATTCTAAGTACAGAAACAATGGGCATTCGAGTATTAAAAGTATGATGATGATGACTGACTTGGTTCTTTCTGTCATCCATGCAATCAAAATTTTACTTAGAAACAGTGCCGCTTTTTTTACTTTCGATACTTAGAATTAACTAGTGCAAAATTGTACACTATATAAATTTCTAAATGTGAATTATCTTTCTTAGTTTGTTAGGTAGCAGATGAGTTGTAATTTAATCCATACATATGTTTTCTATCTGTTTGTTCTGGTTTATTATATCGCCAAAAGTCAATAACTGCCTCTGTACCTAAACGGTTGGGCATAAATCAAATGTCTTTGACTTTCATTAATACTAATCACATAGCTTACTAATTGCATGATTTTAAAAACCGCCTTCAAATGAACGTTCATCATGAAATCAATTGCAGTATAAATTTGATTTTTGAGGTACTGGAAATGCGGGATAAAACCTTGCTTTGCTTTTTTAAGAGTTCTAGGCGGCGGCAGCGGGGCTGTTAAACTCTCTGAAGGTTAGGAGATTCCCTTTAATTTTTAAATTTTGTGATCGTCTTTTGCGAATACTCTGAGGAGGGTTTTTTTTAGAATATTTTTACTTAGAACATATAATATTGTACTATATAATTATAATATAATATAACATATTATATAATAATATTTAACATTCTTATATTTTAAAATTAGCTATAGTATATTATATTATACTTACCTTTTTTACATTTGTTTATCTATTATAGGGAATTATTGTATATTCTTAAACTAAAAGGCAATATTTATTTTTTCTGCTATTTTTATTAGTTTTAGGCTATTGTCACTTGAGTAAGTTATTTTTCTTTCCATGGCGGTCTTGATAAATGATCAACCATTTCATTCTTATATCCCGGTCTAAATTTTATGTCATAATTATAAATTTCTAGTTTTGATAACTATCTTATTCTTCTAGCATTCTCATTGTACTCTGGTTTTTTATTTTTGAGAAATTCATAAAGACCTTTATTATCTACATGTACCGTAAAGGTTCTTGACACTAAATAATATCTAAATGTTTCTAAAATTCTTTTTAATGCTATAAATTCCTTTTTTAAATATCATATAATTTATTTCCGCTTTGTTGAATTTCCAGAAGCATAGATACATATGTCATTTTTGTTTTCAATTGTAACTATGCGACCCCAAAAATAATCTGAGGCATCAGTAAAAACATGTAAATCATCCTTAGGTTCAGGTATTGCTACCTTTAGCATATTCAGCACTAGCTGCTTTATTTTATTTACTGTATCCTTTTCTAGTTTTTTTAACTCTATGCTTATCTTGTCTGTATCCCATCTGAAAATAGGTTTATCATTTTATTTTCTATATATTTTGTTATTTTATTTGTTTTTTGAATTAATGGATCAATTAATTTGGATAAATTTTGAAAATATTTTCTTCCTTAATTTAATATTCCTATAAAAACATGTAGATTTTTTAAGGTTTTTATTTTAGGAAAGCTCTTAATTTTCTTTATTATACGATCTTGCATTTCTAATTTTCCTCCTATTATTTTTCTTCCTAAAAATTCGATTTCTTGTGTAGCTATAATAATTTTTCTTTTTCCTAAAATTATGCCATGTTGTAAAAGTCTTTCTCTTACTAGTATTAAGTGTTTTTTTAAGTTCTTTAAATGTTTTTGACATAATTAAAATGTCATCTATGTAGACTAGAACAAAGGATAAATCACCAAATATAGAATCCATCCATTTTTGAAATATTTGTGGAGCAGTTTTTAGTCCAAATGGCATAACATTCCACATATAATGATCGTTAGGAGTGCTAAAAGTTGTTAATTGTTTTGACAATTTATCTTTTTTTTTTGGTAAAATCCTGATTTCCCATCGAATTTACTAAAGTATTTGTTATTTTGTATTTTATGTATTAATGATTCTATAGATGGGATAAAAAACCATCGAATTTTGTAATAGAATATAGCTTTTTATAGTTTATTACTATTCTAGCCTATCCTCTAACTTCTTCTACATGATTTCTTACTACAAAACTAGTAGACATATATTCAGATGTCGTCGGGCTTACTAATCCCATATTTTTCCATTCTAAGACTTGCCTTTTATACTCTAAAATGTCTTGTTCATTATATATTAAAGGTTTCATTCTAAAGGGTCAGGTGTTTTTCTTTAATTTTATAGACATATACCTAGGACTTCTATTAAATTCTTTTAAAGGATTTTCAGAATGTAATTCATTCATAGAATTTATATATTTTATAATCCATTGATCATTGGTTTCTTTAGCATTTAACACTTTCAAAGAAAGCTCTTTATATATGGGTACATATGTCCGTTAGACATATGTTGTTTTTTACTTTTACCGTTGTTATATCTTTTATTTCTACAATATTTTTCCATATAATTATAGGTTCGTATTCATTTAGTGTGTCCATTCCAATAATAAAATCTACCTTTGATTTTTCTACTACATGGACAGGATATATAGTCATCTTTTTATATGTTTTTGTCTTTACATCAAATATTTCAACAGTAATATTTTCTATGATTTTATTACAATTAGTTCTTGATGTTGTTCCCACAAAATTTTTTGTTTGTATTTGTTTATAATATTTATTTGGATACATATGGGATGTATAATACTAGTTTGAACTCCTGTGTCAACAAGAGCATAAATGTTATAGGGAATATAATTCTCTAAATTGATTAAAACTTCTATTTTAGTATACGTAATAAGATAACTTAGTAGACCTTTCATTTTATTCAGTTAGGCATTGAATACTTTTATTATTGTTAAGATTTAATGTTTTTTTATTAAACACATGGTTCAATTTGCTTTAAAAAGGCTGTTCCTATTAATAAATATGTTGTTTCTTTTATTGTTCTTCTTTCTATATATATTTTACTTATATTTTTAATGATTGTTTTATAATTCTCTAGGCATTATTAAATGAATCTATGGTAATTGGTTTTTCTTATATTATATATTCTTCAACTGATTCGTTTATAATTAGTAGATTAGAACTTGCTCCGGTATCTATTATTCCATAAAATTTTATAAAATGTTTTGGGGTTAATTATATTACTATCCATGTATAAAAGCCATTGTCTGTATCATAAAAATAAGGCCTATTAAACTTAAGAGACAGATTTTCTAAATATTCATCTACATTTCTCTTTCTTTCTTCCTCTTCATTAGATAGCGTATTTTCTGATGCCTTATTCATATAGTGTAGAGGTAAATTACTTTCACTTAATAGATCTTCAGATATTGTATCTTTTCTTTTATTAGGGGTTTTTCATATTCTTAAAACTGGGTCTTCTTGAACTAGATGCTTCGGAGATATTATTGTATTCTCTAAAACTTTTACTTTTATAAGGAGCTAAAACTATTTTATTTCCTTCTATTTTCATTACTTGCGTTATTTCCTTTTTATTTTCTCTATTTATTTATATATTTGGATTCCACACATTTAGACTTATTTTTTCTAATTTAGGTAGGGTTAAAGGATTTCTTAGGGATGGATTTGTAATTTATCAATACTAGGTTAGGGTCCTGAGCTATGTTGAATAGCTAATTTTCATCCTTTTTATGGAACTTGTAGTGTTTTAGAAACCATCATTATATGTCTCGATTGTATAGATAAAGCTTTAGTATCTGGTAAAAACTCCATTTCTTTCATTTTTTTCATATATTATTAAGGACTGTAATTTTTTTTTCATGTAAAGTAATACTATAGTTGGGTTGTATTCTAAAAACCATAAATCATGGGTATAGGTTTCCTCTAATCATTGTTATTGACGAATGAAATGGACTTGATACAATCCTATTGTCAGATAATATTGCTACTATTGTTTATTATTTTCCAGCTAAAATTTCCTTTAATTAGAATTTGAACTGCTCCAAAAATGTAAGTAGTTTTTATCTTTATTTTTATCTTTATATTTTTCTCTAAGATGTTTTATATGTTGTTCTGATAGTAAAGGGATTAATCCTTCTACTTCTTTATAACTTAGAGTCCTTTTATGACCTTCAGTTATTTCAAATATATATTTGTTATTTGGTAACATTCTTCTAACTTCAATTTCCTACTCCTTTGATCTTATATAAATTTTCTGGTTTATAGCTTCTATAATTTTTATGTATTCCTTCTAACTGTTGAGGAGTAAACAGACCAACTTGTACTTGGAGCTTCATCTAACTTGTCATCTACTATTTCTTCAAATATGTAATTTTCATTCCGCGTTTCTTGATTCATAAAAATAGGATCGTCTTTGTCAGAATTTTCTAAAATTTATGAACTTGATTCAGTGAATTCGTCTATATCATAAGTAGCTATGTCGGAGTTATCAGATATACTTGATAATTCAAATTCTAAATCATTTATATTTATACTTTCACTTATTTCAGATCCCGATAAAACCTCATATTTACTTAGCTCATCTGATATTACATTAACCCTTTTATTACTATAACATTCATTTGCAAAATGTCCCTTTTGTCCACATATAAAACACGTACATTCCTTTTTACCTTTTCTTCTAGTTACGTATTTTTTTGGAAGAAATTCTTTTTGATTTTTCATATTTATATCTCTTTACTCCTTCCTTAGTTTGTCTATATACAAAGGATCTTGATTTTTTGGTACTTTTGAATGTTGATATTGTTTTCTCTTATAGGGAACTTTTGTGGCAGGTCATCATTGTGATTTGTGGGTGACTTCTTCTAGGTTTTCCACCACGCTTGCTGTGCTTAGGAAACTCGTATTGAGGAATTAATTTCTTATAAATTTCTTTAATTCCGTGACTTGTTTGTCGCATTATTTTGTCTTGCATTCTTCTTTTGATGCAATAATCATTAATACATTTGTATACGTAGGCCACTCTATGTGGTAAATGGTCTTTTATATTACTATTTTTAGCCATTATGTTAGTCAAATAATTTGGATATCCTGATAATAATTTTTCATTTATTGGTGAAGGAAACTTAAGGTAATAAGTTTCTAAATATCTTCTTTTAATGTCATTTGGTAGGCTCTAATAATGTTCTTCAAAAAAAATTGTGCATTTCTCTGCAATGTTACTAAAAATGGCTTTATCTGACATTCTTTTGTGTTTAGAAATTTCATTTTCATCATATTCATCTATTACCCTCATATAATGAATTAATAAAAAAAATTTAAATTTTGTTATTGCTTTAGCATTAGTCACTTCTGATTTTATTTCTTTTATTTTATTTTTTTTTCCTTCTATTGTTCCTTCAAACCTTTTAACCACTGTGCTATAAGTCCTTTTATGAAGAACTTATGTAATTTATGGTTTTTACTGTATCCCATGAAAGTTTCTGAGCTATTCCACTTACATTATGGGACCAATCCATTAAATATTTAATTTTCTTATCTCTATTTAATTCTGGATCTAAATTTAATAGATATGTAATTGAATCTGATCATGGACTTAAAATTTCTTCTAGAGTTACAGTGTCTTCATTTTTTATTTTCATTTTTGATGTTGTAACATTGATTTATTTTTGCCTGTTTGTTTTATTATAAAAGTCATTTGAGTCTAAAGATTCTAAAGTTTCTATATATTTGTCAGCCTGTGGTTGTGATTCTTGCTCGTTCATAATTTCTTCTATATATTGAGATGTTTCTCCTATTCCGGATTGTTGACTTGTAGCTCCTTGTGCTGTTTTTATTTCTTTTATAATAACATTAACATTTGTTCTTTGGTCCTTTTCTTCTATTATATGATCATCTAATATATCTTCTTTAAGATAATTTATCATATATTCATTATAATTGAATTCTGTTACATTTTCATTATGTCTTAATATATTGAAAGCTACTAATATTTTTGGATATAACACTTGTCCTACAGCTTCATATTCTTTTTTTGCTTTTATCATTTTTATTCTTTTTATCCAGTTTATTTTTGCTTGGTTATACACCTCTTCTCTAGTCATCATTTTGATTGGTCGTATGCTACTAACAGTTAAATTTGTGTCATCTGAATCACTATTTTCTACCATATATTTATGTTTCTTAAATAATTTTTTATGTTTCTTTTTTAAGGATAAAATTTCAATTATGTATTTATCATCGGTTGACTCTACATACTTGTACTTTAAGTCTTCTATTTTTTTCTTTAATTTCTTCAAACTTTTCTTTTTCATTTTTTTCTGAGTCTATAATAACGTGTATTGTTTCAATATCTGTGGGTGCTTTTAGTAATTTAGATTCTAAGTATTCTTCATTTACTTTTCTTATGGTTGTATATTCTTTTTAATTTTCATCTACTTTTAATATATTTGACTGATATAAAGCTGTTGGTTCTTTGTTGGATTTATTGTTATTATTTTTTTCCTTCTAATTGAGTTGAAGAGGTAACAGCTGTCTTAGAGGCCTAGACGGACCCCCGTAAAGGAAATCGAATCAACAGATCTTGAATCAGACACTTGTTGGTCTTCACATTCGGGTGTTGAGGCAGGCCAGGGTTCAGACCGGAAAAGAGATGTTTTTCTTCCATTGGTTCTTGCTGCATCGGCTTGATTTACTATTCGCAAAGTTCTAACAAACTGTTGAATTACTTCTAATTTTTTATTTATTTGTTGCAATGTTGCAAACATCTGCTCATTTAAAAGATTTAAACTAGTTTGTTTTTCTTTTAATTGTAGATCATTTTCTGATATATAATTTAATATTTTAGCTATATGTTCCGTTGGTATTTTGTCTTTATTTTTATCTATATGCTCTAGATGCTTATAGTGTTTAGTCTTATAATAATAGTTTTCCAAATCATTGATTAAATGCATGTGTTTGTGTTCTCCCTGTTTTATTTTTTTAACGTTACTAGATAACAAAGAGCCTATGGTTCTTCATAAAATTTAGTTTGTTTATCCGTGACTCCTAAGGGCGTGTTTGGATTTCAATGGGGTTAAGGGAAGTTGGGGAAAACTAGGTGAGAAAAGGGAAGGGAAGGGAGTTCCCTTCCCCTTGGTTACACCCCAATTTGGAGGGTAACAAATTTTATACTATTAATGGATGAACTAAGGGGAACTAGGGTGAATAACCGTACCTCCTAAATGTTTTCAAACAAGTTGAATGATTCTCCTAACTTCCCAAGACTTACAGTTGTTAAGTCCAACTTACGGCTTAAACTACCCACAATACGGTCAAAAAGGGACTATCGTACTAGGCCGACTCTCGGGCAATTAATCTCACTAAGGTCCAATTCAAGTCTCCCTCTTTCAGTTCGAAAAGAAAGCATGAACAATAAGCAAGCATAAATGGCTCTTAACTACCATTTCACATAAACAGAATAAAAACTAGACCAGAGTGATCAATGAGTTTCCCCGAAAAAGTTATAATTTATACCTTTGCTATGGAGAAAACAGATCGTAATTGGCTCTGATACCGGCTGGGTTTTCATCCTTCAATGAAAGAAACGATGTTCATGTAGATAACTAGCTTATAATATATTATTATTTATTAAAATAATTGAATATGTTAGTATATTGATGTAATAACATAATATAATATAATATAATATCATTTCATATGATTATATATGTTATATTAATATAATTCAATATATTATTGTATTATAATATGATGTTATGTATTAGAACATAATATAATATTATAATAATATATCTCTATTAAATATAAACCTGGTGTAATTTTTTATATTTATAATATATAAATATACAATATGATACCATATTAATTAATATTACTGAACATGTTTTTGTTATAAATTATTATAATGTATTTTGCTGTACATATTATAATATATTAAATATTGTATTTAACAATTGTATAAATTAATTTACAATTAATTGATAAATAATGCCATAGGTTAATATAATGTAATATATTAAGAAAATTCTATAAATATATTATAATTTACTTTATTATATTATATATATGTTAATTAATATTTTAAATTAATTATAATATGGTTCCATGCAATCAAAATTTTACTTAGAAACAGTGCCGCTTTTTTTACTTTCGATACTTAGAATTAACTAGTGCAAAATTGTACACTATATAAATTTCTAAATGTGAATTATCTTTCTTAGTTTGTTAGGTAGCAGATGAGTTGTAATTTAATCCATACATATGTTTTCTATCTGTTTGTTCTGGTTTATTATATCGCCAAAAGTCAATAACTGCCTCTGTACCTAAACGGTTGGGCATAAATCAAATGTCTTTGACTTTCATTAATACTAATCACATAGCTTACTAATTGCATGATTTTAAAAACCGCCTTCAAATGAACGTTCATCATGAAATCAATTGCAGTATAAATTTGATTTTTGAGGTACTGGAAATGCGGGATAAAACCTTGCTTTGCTTTTTTAAGAGTTCTAGGCGGCGGCAGCGGGGCTGTTAAACTCTCTGAAGGTTAGGAGATTCCCTTTAATTTTTAAATTTTGTGATCGTCTTTTGCGAATACTCTGAGGAGGGTTTTTTTTAGAATATTTTTACTTAGAACATATAATATTGTACTATATAATTATAATATAATATAACATATTATATAATAATATTTAACATTCTTATATTTTAAAATTAGCTATAGTATATTATATTATACTATATTATCATAAGATATTATATTATATTATGTAATGGTATTTTACTTATAATAAAAATAAAGTAATGATATATTATACTATATTATAATTTATTATAATGTATTTAATTTTATTATATTAAAAAATTACGTAAACCTATCACTCTTAGCTTGAGTTGCAACTCGTTAGTTCTTCACCATCTCCTCCTCCGACGAACCTAACTACGTTCTAGTACTTTTCTGCCCTCTCTCAAGTACTGGTTGTCTCATCTTCAACACTATCATCTACTC